CCGACTGGCATGTGCCCCGACTGGCGTGTGGACAGTTGCCCCGACCGGCGTGTGCCCGACCGGCGTGTTGACATTTTGCCCCGACCGGCGTGTGCGCTGGGTTCCCCGCTCATCACGGCTCATTATGCTGCCGCCCACTGAGCAGTCAACATCTCCCATCCCCCAGGTTTCATGGGCCCAGTACATCACGGTCATACACGTGTTACAGTATTGTCACATAAGCAACATCGCACAAGCATATTCAAGACGCATGGCAGCTGTTCGCCTGTTTGTGTGTGACAATTATACTTATTGTGTCGAGGCAAGTGCGTGGTTGCCCGTGTGATCATGGACAGACCACCGGTTACACCGATATGCTCGTTGATCGTGATGTTGCTGATAAGCACACACTACGCGCTTTGCACAACCGTAGACCGTGGTACGTATGAGCTATTGTCACACAGATCACCGTAATGAGAAACAACCCGGTGTGCTTGTGTGTATTGTAACAATGTAATGTGATTACTTGTAGGATATGCGAAGAGGGGGGAACTGAGAATGATTCTAGTGGGCAAAACGGGGTCCGGGAAAAGTGCATCCGGTAACACTATACTTGGTGACCGCACCGCATTCGAAGAGGGTATGTCACCCCAGTCTATCACCAACGGCTGCGTGAAGAGCGAGAGGGTGATAGACGGGACGAGGATCGTCATGGTCGACACGCCGGGACTGTTTGACACGACTAAGACTCAGAGCGAGGTCAAACTAAAGATCGAGGAGTGTGTCGTGCGATCGCTGCCCGGACCACACGGATTCCTCTTAGTGCTCAGTCTCAAGTCGAGATTCACGCAGGAAGAGCAAAGCACGGTGGGATGGATTCTAGATAATTTCGGAGAAGACGCTTCTACGTATATCATGGTCCTGTTCACCCACGGCGATCTGCTACAGGGCAAAACGGTGACCGATTACATAAGAGAAAGCAAAGCTCTGCAAAAGCTTATAAACCGGTGCGGCGGCAGGTATCATACGCTGAGTAACACCGTCGGACACAACAGGACTCAAGTGTACGAACTGCTTAACAAAATACAGGACATGGTCGAGTTCAACGGGGGCAAGCATTACAGTAACGACATGTACCGCGCTGCGCAGAAGGCTCTGGAGTTAGAGCGGCAGGCTAAGAGGCGTGCGGAAGACCATATGAGAAGAGAGCAGGAGGATATGATAAAGGCTAGGGAATGGTGCCGTTTCTTCGGTCTTACATCGATCGGCTTATTTGGCACCGGAGCGTATCTGTCATCGTATGTTCTGATGGGGGTAGGGGGAGCGCTAGGGTACTCGCAGTTTAATTGTACGTGGACGATGTTTATTTAGACTCTGGTGGTGTTGGTGTTTTTGTGCTATGTTTTTCTTTTCGTTTTGTAATACAATAAAGAGATTGAAATAATGTCGTTGCGTGAGTGTGTTATTTCC